GAAAACAGAGGATGTTAGAATTGCTACTTACATTTTAAGAAGTTAATAACAATTTCATGTTAAAAAAATTGTTTTCCTGCAGTAGATTTTTCCAGCCGTGAGAAAGGCAGGGTTCTTTTGAAATTGTTCTTAGGACTATACATTAGGGTTACATTATTTTATATCTAGGATCTTCCTACTAAATTAAATCTTGCAATCAAGGGAATACTTCCAATTCTCTTATGCCAACATAATATTTCACAATTAGATTTACCATCTAGTGGATAAAAGAGAGACCTTTCTGTATACTTTCCAAACACAGGCCCTGAGCAGTAAATCCTTATATTTGCGCACAACCTTATTTTTTAGGAAACAATTCCTGAATATGCAGAGCTAGTAATATTTAGTCTACCCATTTGAGTAAATAGATTGTACAATTTGTCCCAGCTAGAGCTAGCCATCTGAGTGCCACACATCCCACCTACGCTAGCCCTCAGCAGACACACCCACACTCGGAAGGCAGTAGAAGGAGTAAAAATTCCCTTCTCTCTCTGCTGACTTGCAGGAAGATTGGATTAATAGCTTAGATCAGGCACTCCTTCTCAGAGAGCTAAAGGTGGTGAGATGAATTGTGTCCCTAGCTTTCAAATTCATCTGACTTAATATTAAAGGAAAAGTATTAAAAGTAAAATGCAATTGTGTGTATGAGACACAGGACTCCTGCCAGTGTGTGATACTGTATTCTTTCAGTTACCAGTTGGAATCAGTGTTACACTGTTGCTTAATTATAAGGGAAAGTGTGTATACCCCACAGGCTTGCTGTGAACATAAGCTGGCTGGGATCATACCTAGGAAAAAAAAGAATTTAAAATGTGGAGGGCTGTCTTTGTGGTTCTGTCCCTCTGCTCAGGCATGTACCACCTGCCACAGCTTATGCCTGAAAATGTGCTGCAGAACTGGGATTTTAATGCTTTCATTTCTATCTATCACAACACATAATGAAATAGGAAACATCCTGGATACAGAAATCATATTTGTAAGTTTTGCACTATATGATCTCTGTGTTTCAGGCCTGTACCAAAATCTGTAGGGCTCCCCAACAAGCACAGCAGTTTGTTTGCACAGGAGCCACAGCAGGAATAGGATTAGTCTCTTGTACTAGAAGAACTTGCTGCTTATTGCAAGCATATTTATATCACTGTGTGTGTGTTCTCAAAAAGAGAGCAAGATGAGAGAAAGAGATAAATAGAGAGAAAGAGAAAGGGGGGGGGACAGAGAGGGAGAAAGAGAAAAAAAATTCTTACTTTTCTTCTCTGTAGATGCTGCCACTTTCTTCAGTGCCAACTCAAGCAAGAAGGAGAGCTAGACAAGGAGCAAGGCTTCAATAGGAACCTTGGGCTCTGCTGGAGCTCATGGGAGCATGTCAGGCCACTGAATTTAAAATTCTGCTTATTTCTACTGAGACACGTCTAACTGAGGAAGCAGCAAACTGCTTTGGTCAGTTGATCTCTGCATGCAGAATAGCTCCATTGCTCTCAGATGTGAGGAGTTCTTCCATTAAGAGTCCTGAAAATGTTGAGCAGTATTGGAGTGGGAAGAGGTGTGAGAGGTTCAAATCTTTGAGCATGCAATATTTACAGCTGAATTTCTGCATCATGAGATTTCACAAATAGCTTGGCTTCATGGTAAACAGAAGTCTGTATTTATGGTCCTGAATGGGACAGGAGTAGGGAAGCAAGGTAGTATTCAAGGTGTTTGGGGAAGTTTTGTAACAAACCAGCATCCTATCAGCTGCGGCAAATCCGAGACCATGGACATGTCTGGAGGGTCCTGAGCTGGCATGTGCCCATACTTATATCTCTTGCTGGGCTGTGTAATGAAGCTGAATAGGAGCTCAAAAGTTGCTTCCACTACAGAGCACTATAATCTGTGATGCAGCGGTGTTTTTGCTTAGCTGGAAAGGCTCAGTCACAGTCCTGTGATGGTAATGGTTACGGAGTTTCCCAGAAATTCTGGGGGTTGGCTTTACGCAAGCCACAATAGAAAGCAATTCAGTTCAGTGTACTGGCTGCAGACAGATCAGCTTTGATGCAGGAGGTTTCTCCTCTCATTGGCCTGGCAATGTTCCTGCTTGAATTGGCTAAGGAGGCAAGCAACAGCTCTGGGCTTACAAATCTGGGCTTCAGCCTTCACTGGATGAACAGTCAGATACACCAGACTCTATGTCAATGTTCAGAGTCTTCCAATGTGATGATCAGGATCCCAGCAAAGTTTTCAGCTTAACAGCTGACTCTCCTCTCAAGCAAGCACAAAGCCCAGACAAACACTTCCACAGATAACAAGTACTCCAGGGGTCTGTCCACATGTGAAACTATCTCCAGGCTTCGGGGCCAGCATGAGACATGAGTAGCTAAGAGCACCACTGGCAAGCTCAGGAAACCTTTTCCAGGCACTACCAATATTCTAATAAGGGAATGAGTTGGCTGACTTGGGCTGCCCAGGCAGCAGTGCTCTTGTGGGTCTTTTGTAGCTTCATGTTGGCAACTTGCTTGAACGGGGCTGAGGCTATGCTGCCAGCGTGCTGCCCAGTGGGACAGTGATACTGGAGTCCTCTGGCTTCTGGTGGGATAGCAGACTGTCACCATCTGATGTAGCCAGGGTTCCTTTGTTGGGCTCATTAACACTTATTCAGGGGAGAGCACATTTTTGGAGATAGGCCTGGCTGTCAATCTTGAAAAACTGTCAAAAAGTAAGAACTAGAATTCAGCACTCTCCAGCCCCCTAGGCTGTTCCCTTTCCCACCTGAGACCTGTCATAAAGGAAAGGAATCATCCTTTACTGTAATCGTTTTCCTCAGGGTCCTGGTTACATGTTTTCTGATCATTTTTTACAAAGCTGTTGTAATAACTCTTTATTCCCAGGCTAATTTTAATTATGACCATTTTAACCGCTTAAGTTTATGTTTCTATCAACAGAGACTGCAGCTTAATGGAGAGAATGTAGCTCATATTCATTGTAACTACATTAGTTAGTCACGTGGAAAAGTCATGCCAAGGACACCCCAACACCTGGAATAAAACATGGACTGTCTTTTGACATGATCACAAGTGATGTTCCCCAGGACTCAGTACTTGGGCCAGTTTTGTTTAATGTCTTTATTGATGGTCAGCATAAGGAAATTGAGTGCACCCTTAGTAAATTCACAGATGACACTATGTTGGGCGGGAGTGTTGCTCTGCTGGAGGGCAGGAAGGCTCTGCAGAAGGATCTGGACAGGCTGGATCGATGGGCTGAGGCCAATGGTATGAGATTCAACAAAGCCAAGTGCCAGGTCCTGTATTTGGTCATAACAACCCCATGCAGAGCTCCAGGCTGAGGGCAGAGTGGCTGGAAAGCTGCCTGGCAAAAAAAGGTCCTGGTTGAGAGTCTCAACATGGGCCAGCAGTGTGCCCAGGTGGCCAAGGACACCAATGGTATCCTGGCCTGTATCAGAAAGTGTGTGGCCAGCAGGACCAGGGCAGTGATCGTCCCCCTGTATTCAGCACTGGTGAGGCTGCACCTCCGATCCTGTGTTCAGTTTTGAGCCTCTCACTATAAGAAAGACATTCAGATGCTGAAGTGTGTCCAGAGAAGGGCAACAAAGCTGGTGAAGGGTCTGGAGCACAAGTTTGATGAGGAGCAGCTGAGGGAGCTGGGGTTGTTTAGCCTGGAAAAAAAGAGGCTTAGGGGAGACCTTACCACTCTCTATAGCTACACGAAAGGAGGCTGTAGCCAGGAGGGGATTGGTCTCTTCTCCCAGGTAACAAGCGATAGGACGAGAGATGACCTCAAGTTGCACCAGAGGAGGTTTAGATTGGATATTAGGAAAATTTTTTTCACTGAGTGATCAGGCTTTGCAACAGACTACCCAGGGAAGTGATGGCATTATCATCCATGGAAGCATTCAAAGAATGTGTGACTTTGGCACTTGGGGACATGGTTTAGCTGTGAACATGGCAGTGGTGGGTTAACTTTATGATCTTCAAGATATTTTCCATCCTAAACAATTCTAGGATTCCATGATTCAATAGTTTCAAATGAGAAATAGCACTTCAGACCAGGCAGCTCTCCAACACTACCAGAAAGCATGACACTGACTAAAGTCTCAGGAACTAAGGGAGGAAGGGTTTCTCTTTCCCCACTGCCATAAATTCCATCTCTCTGGGAATAATGTTGCTTGGGAATGTCAGTCAGCACCTATTCTGGCACTGACTTGTGCCTCTCTAATACTTCCCTCCTCCGGAAAACGTATTTCCATCTGCAGCATTATTCTTCTCTTTGTCTGAAGAAATACTTGGAACTGCTGCTATCTCTAACTCTTGATTTATCCTCTCATTTACTAGCACTCTGGCAGACCTCTTAGTTCCTATTCAGCAATGTGAAGCATCTTATTTTTGGAAAATTTTACATTTTATCTCCTCTTCAGGGTCATATTATTTTCCAGAATTGGCAGACTTCTTTTTAAACTTGGTATTTTTTTTCCCCCCGATACTCTGATATAATTAGCACTAAATCAGACACTGAAGGCACTAGAGCAGAAGGCTGAGAAAGGGTTTCCTGATAGTAAAAATATGAAAGGCTGAGATAAAGATACTTCTGCTCCCAATATTCCCTCCTGGAAACTACAAATCCAGCAGATGAGAAGCCATCTGTGTGGATACCTTGTGATGCATTTTAACACTAAAACAGTAATTGAGCTGCACTTCTAGGGCTTCCCTTGCCAGCAGCCATCCCTGGAAATCCCCTGTAGGAGTGAAAGGATAGATAAGGACAGTGCCATGGAAACAGCTGATCCTTTCCTTACCTTTCCTAAATACACTACCAATTGGAAACTAACTTGCAAAAGTCAAACTACTAACCAAATCCATATAAATCTAAACATTTTATGCTCAATTTAAGTGGTGTAGTAATTAAGAACTATGAGAAAATACAGTAAGAAAATGTGAGGTCTTAGTGTTTTTATTCTTTAAAAAAATGCTTTAACACCTCTTTGTGGCGAGATCTTTAATATTAGGTTTGGTGTACACTTTGACACACCTTTATCCTTGTGTTTTAGAAATATTTAAAAAACCAAAAGGCTATACTAATGAAAAAAAAAATCCACTATGTTCTTCTAGAGCAAAGATGAATGCCCAGGAGTGCTGTAACCCTACAACTTTCCAAAGAGAGCAACTGAGAGACTTCTGAACATCATGCAGCAACAAGGATATCAGGGAGAAGCTGCAGCTCCATATTCATGAGTGTCACACAGGTGTGAGTTCAGCAGAAATCAGAAATTTCTGCCTCTTGCAGAAGAGGTATTTTACTGTTTTATCTAATCAAGATAAAACTTCATCTTGCAATCAATGGGCAGTATCTTCTGGTTCAAGCTATTTCTTCCAAGGGATTTAAACTCTAATCTGAGAAAGGAAAATAAAGCCTGTTTCACTACTGCTGAAAAGCTGCCAACCCTTGCTCTAGGTGATTGCTTTGACTGTGTTTGTTTTTCCTGAAGAATACTGGGAAAATATGTAGGTGGGAGAAGGAAGGACTCTTGCTGCGTTCCAATAAATTTTTTGTTCTGTTTAAAAATGGCTTACAAGGTTATTTATCATGTTTTGCCTCTACTCATAATTGAGAATCGTGATCTTACTATGACTAATTTAATTTCATGTTTTGGTGAAGTGGAACAGCCTAACTCTGCCCTGCACATACTCTGGGCAATTCGCCTTCCTCCCTCTTCTGTGGCTGCATTGTCAACATCTTTTGGAGACACCTGGAGTCATCGAGCACCCACAGACTCTCTGGAGCAAAGGTCCAGAAAAACTGCAGAGAATTTCCAGTGAACGCTGAGATCCATAAAGCATTTGGGTATTCTAAGCACACCTGACTCTCTTGATGACCTCTTCCCAAATTTTCCACGCTTTGGAAAATTTAGCCCTCTGTGGGCATTAGCAGAAGCAATAGTCAGCTGAAGTCCGAATGGCTCCTAGACATGTATGACATGACTTCAGAACATGCATGTTAAGGCCCCAGCTCTCAAGAACATTAGGTCAAAGGTTGTGTCAAGTGACTTTAACAGCACCACTTGAACTGTTGACTGCAGGGGCCTGCACACACAATCACATGCAGGACAGGTTTTCTGTAGTCATGTTTTATAGTTCATTCACCTGTGCTGCCATAGACAAAAGCTTGCAGATTCACTCCCACAGACCTTCTTACACTGGTTCAAGATGGATGTGTATCAGCCTGTGAAGTAAGTCAAAGGAAAAAAAAGGGACCATTGATTAAATGAGATTAAAAATAACAAATGCATATCTGTTTGTAGACAAAGACTTGTAGGAGGTAAAACAGTACTATATATGGCTCAAAATGGATTAGGAGTGTCCACACATGATTACCAGTCCCTGCATTAAATGGGCTCAGAGCACCTCTCTAATTAAGCAGGTGCAACTATGGGAAACAGGCCTCGCCATTGTAGAAAAATGTATTGAATCAAGACTAAAAGTAGCAAATGTATGAACACATACTTGAACACACCCCCTTTAGTGGCTTCAGGATTTTTTTTAAAACATTAAAACACTAACTGCTTTCACTTTCTTTAAGAAAACAAATGAGGAAGTCGAATACACAGCCACTACAGCCTGAGTAATGAGGTTGCTCAACTAAACACATCTTTAGGAAGGGCAGATTTTTTTAATTAACAGAATTTAAACCACAATTTACACATGTTGTGGGTGCTAGGTAGGTAGTTATATTAAGCTAACCAGTCTAAAACAATAAATGGTACTTTTTTCCCATTAACTAGCTCTGTTGAACTATACAGGCTTCTAGTCTTATAAATGTTAATTGTTTTGCATGTAAACTGTAATTTTGCAATGGCCAGAGAGATCAGTTCATGTAGATGCAATGACAATGTCAGGTGCTTAGTTCACTTGCATCATACTGTTGAGTACCATCTTAAATGACTTCTTTTTGGGACACTGGAAAAAGAATTAGCTTTTGAAAAAGAAACTCATAATATTAAAGTGTAAAATAAAACATAATGAAGCAAAGTTTTTATAAATGGGTATAAAAGAGTCTGACTATCCAAGTGGTTATTTAGCAACACTGATGATGAATAACATTGTTTATTGTTTTCAGTCTAAAATAACACTGATTATTGTTTTCAGCTTTTATATTTGTCACGTGGTATGAAGAACTGTTTGATTTTTCAGACTGAACAACAAAAGTAGTCCAGAAGTTCACACTCCACTTAAAACAGCATGTCACTTTTGGTGCTTTAAAATGGTTTGTTTGTAGCAAATATATACATATTTGAGTCACAAAAGAAAGGTTACCTTATTAGAACAGTAAAACACAGTGTTTTCCTGGATGATGTGTATAGACATTCATTTCAATGACATGGCACTCATGCTCATCATACAATTGAGCTGCATAAAAAGGTGGCAGCATTAAGAAACTGTCCTCCTGTCTTTGGTTAAAGACTGTTCTTTCATCTTCAAAACGTGTATGTTGACAGACGTGTTACTGTAATACTAATGTTTCTATAATAGTGTTATGCAACCTATTGAATTCTTAATTCAGTAATTCTAAAAGCAGTTTGAAGGGTCAAAACCAAACCTAAGAAAGCAGACATGAAACTATTGACAGAAACCTGCTATTTCTGGCTAAGTATCATATGCTCATCTTTTTGTTTGCATTTTTAAACTTTATGATGATTTCACAATAAAATTAAGGTAGAGTGCCATTGTTTTTCTTGATGGAGCAGAAAGCTCACCAATAATGTTGGCCTTGATCCTGTAAACACTTGTGCAAGGCTTAGCTTTTGTACCATTGACAGTCTCATTGAATTCAAGAGGATTATTTGCATTATGAGTGTTTTGTGCATCACTTGTACTTGCTGTACTTGAGCCACTGCTGTAACATTCATGTTTTGAGGGTCGATAAATTGAAACCAAACGCCCAGTTGCATCATCTTGGTAATGTTCTTCCACTTTACTAACCACGAAGTGGATAGTAGGGCCTTCCTCTCCGCTGCTATCACACTGCAGAGAAAATAGGAATTTTCGCACAATTTACCCCTTTGGGATGTCGTTCTTGACCTAGATCCCCCGCAGGATAACACACAGCCTGCGGTGAAGCCAGGCCTTTCCTTCTGCGCTCTGTAACCCACGGGCAGCGGACAGGCCAGGGCCACGGGGGATGGCACACCCCCTCTGGAAGCTGGGGCGCTTCCCAGGAGAGAGCGTCCCCCCGGGTTAGGTCTGCACAGGCCCCCGGCACCCGCGGGGGCGCAGGGGCGAGGAGAGGACCGGGGAGCCCTGCTCCGCCCGGACCCCGCTCACCCTACGCCCCGCTTTGGCCCGGCACCCCCGGCCTGGGCGCCACCCTCTCCCCTCACGAAACGGGACCCGGGCCGGGCGCGTCCCCGGCCGGCAGCGCCTCAGCGGTGCCGCGGAGCGCGGCGGGACCCACGGCCTGTGGGCCCGGCCCCCAGCGCAGGGCCGCGTCTCCCGCGGGAGGCGGAGGGAGCGCAGCCGAGGGAGCTGCTCCTTCCTCCTTCCTCCTCCCTCTCCTCCCCGTCCCCCTCAGCCTCTCCGGAGGGCCGGGCCGTTCCGGGCAGTGCGGCGGCGCTGCCCCCGCCCCTCGGCGCTGGCGGCCGGGCCGAGCGGCGGCGGGGTCACGGCGGCGGCCGGGTCAGAGGGTAAAGGTTGCTCCCCCAGCATCCTCCGTGCTGGATACTCAGCCATCTTGGATCCGCGGGACAAGAAAATTCATGCGGTGAGTCCGGCCCCGGCCGCCCCTCCCCGGCCCCGCCGCCGACCGGGGCCCCGCCGCCGTCCCGGCCGCGGCCCGATGCGGGAGGCCCGGGCGGCGGCGCGGCCCGCGGCGGGGTTCGGCGGGCCCGGGGCCGCCCCGCCGGGTTTCCGTTTGCTTTTGTCTCCGAGGGGGAGCGGGGGGGACGCGCGGCGCCCGAGCCGGGGGCGCAGCCGCAGGCCCGGCCCGGCCCGCCACCCCCCGCCCTCCTCCGCGGCCGCGGGCAGTGGGGGCCGCCGGGCGCCGCTCCGGGGTCGGGCGAGGCCGCGGCCCAGCGGTGCCCAGGCCCCGCATCCCTGCGGCCGCCGTTGGCAGCTCGCCCCGCGGCCCTCTCGGCCCGCCCGAACGGCTCCTTCCCGCCGCCGCTCCGCCGGCCGCTCCCGGGCCTCCCCCGTCCCTCTGAGCCGGTCCCCGCGGGGCTGCGCGCCCAGCCGGCCCCCGCCCCTGCCTTCCCTGGGCCCGGCGTCGGGGCAGTGGAACCTGCCGCCCACGGCCGGGGCCGCGCCGGCCCCGCGCCTCGCCGAGCTGCCGTGCGGCCTGCGCCGCGGGCCCCGGGCGGAGAACGGCGGTGAGGCGGGGGTGCTGCTGGCTGTCTTTCTTCTGGAAAATATTTTTTTTTAGCCTGCGCCTGTTCCACTCTCTTCCTGGCGGCGGTTAAGGCGGTGTGTAAACAGGTTCTGGTTTTCCCTCGGACGTGTTTGTAAAACAAACTTGAAAGGGACCGAGCGCGGCCGCCAGAGGAAGGAGCCGGCCTTCCCCTGCCCGCCGAGGCGGCGGTGACAAGCTCTGTCGTGAACCTGGCCCGTGCTGGGGGAGGAGGTGGCACAGGGTGACAGGTTAGGGATGAGACAGGGACAGTAGAGTGGTGCGGAAAGGTGCAAGAGTCAGTGCTGGCCATCCAGTTAGTGTATGTGTGCTCCTGGTGAAAACAAGGTACCATCTAATGGGTATTTTCGGTTTTAGGGTGGGCTTGTTTTTGTGAAGTTGCAGGTAACTTTATTTTGGAGGCCCTGTAATGTGGGAAAATGAAAACACGCTTGTGTTAAGTATAGTAGCTTCTGCTGCTGATCCACATCTAACAGAAGCACGTTTTTATTTCTGCTGTCTGTTTTATCAGGCAAAAAGTTGTTTCCAACTTTGCACTCTTTTATCCCCAGGGGAAGATTAGAACTTTCTGTGTCTCCTTCATGTATATATATGTATGTATGTATGTGTGTGTAACTTAGAGTGTGTGCAGGAGACATTCCTGTGTGCCTGCACGGCAGCAACATCTGGTGCTGGTGACTGGCTGCTAGTCTTTACTCTTCAGCTGGGGGAAGGGAGTTTAAGATGATCAAACCTGCTGTCACATTAGTCAGTAAAGACCTTTATGTTCCTGGAAACTTGGATATGTTTCAGACTGTTAAGACTTGTGAAGACCTGCAAGAGCAAAATAATTGTTGAAGTTTATATTGCAATGACATATTTGTTTGGACCTGGGAGAATAGTTGTGTGTGTGTTGATGTACTTTGAGTTCTCTTATAGTGACACCTTAATAGAACGCAACTTGCAAGATTGAGTTTTATGATCTGGAACATGATGTGTCCTATGCCTTTTGCTTTTCTTTTTGCCCCCAAATTCCGCTGTTGTTTATGTTGAGAATTCAGCTGGCATGCTAAACTTCAAGGCGTTGACTGCTTCTGATTTTAGAAAGGGATTTGAATACTCACTATCAAGAGCTGACTGGCTTGACTTGCAAGTGTATTTCCGTTTCACTTTCAGGAAGCTGTTGATAAAGCTAAGAGTGTAGTATTAGATAAACCTTGTCTACACATCTCTTCTAGAAACTTAATATTGCTGTCAAAGCAGTCATTGTTATTGCAACCTGTTCATGTGTAAGTTCTATCAACAAATGAAAGAAAAGCCCTTGGCTAAAATAAAGACCTCGGAAATTTATAAAAAAAAGTAAGTTGAATTCTCTTTAGGACAATCTAATTTTAGAGAATTGTTATTCAGTGGAAAAAATAGGGCAGTGTCCTGAAGCTGGATGCTAAAAACCAGTCCCATAAATGGCTGTTTTCACCTGAAAATCGTGGTCTTTACCTCACTCACTTCATACAAAAATTCCAAGTGCCTGCAGTGATAGATCTCAGAAAGGATTTCTGCTGTATTTCTGAATGCATTTCTGTTTAGATAGAGATTTGCTTTGAAATTAGAAACATTATTTCTTTTTTAGCCTCTACTGTAGCTTTCTTAAAAATTACACTAATTTTCATGTTGGTGCAAGGTCTGTCATACAGTAATTGCAAAGTTGTAACCTCATTGCAGCTTTAAAGCAGCCTTGTGTCATAACTTTGTTTATTCAGAAATGTTTTCCACCTCCTTCTTTTTATTGACTCAAGAAGTGAATAGAACTTAAAAATACACCATAGTTGAATTAAAATAGAGGTTTCTTGCACCTAGCTATCTGTCTTGATCTGGAAACTGAAGAGAAGCATTGAATGGCTTGTTTTCCTATGAGGTAGCGTAGAAAGTGCACCAAGTACAGAATTTTGTTCTAAAGGAAGTAGACCCTTGTATTTAACTTTTTAAAATTATGTCTTCCCTTAAAGCTATAATTTGACTGAATACAGATTTTTTAAAAGGCACCTTAAAAAATATGTTCCCAAAGGAAAAAAAAAATAAATTCTTAAATTCTTGGCAGAATACTTGCTGTATTTGTTGTGTGTGTTTCTAAATGTTAGCTTAAATGAAAGCCCTATGCCAGTTTCTATAGTAGTTAGTCAAACTAACATTTTTTTACCATAGATTTAAACGATTGTTCTCTAAGTGATACAGTTTTTCTCATTTTGAAAATTATTATTAATACAGTGTATGTTTGGATTTCAGCATTTGCTGTCAAAAGCTTAGAAGTTCCATTTAGGTTAACTTTGCTTCATCTGGGCTTTTGAGATATAAATAAGTAAAAAAATGTAAGTAAACATTCTGCTATACAAACTAATATTTTTGCTTGAAATTTATCCTGATGTCTCAGATGCACTGAGATGAGCAATTCAATACAGCCTGTTTCAGTTGTGTTTCCTGAATCACTGGCGTTTTTTTTTTTTGTTTTTCTTTGCAGATGTGCTTTAGCACATAGGTGCTGTGTTTGTGTGTGTTGGTTGGTCTCCTGACTGGGGTTCCTGTAAAAGCATTTGAACACTTGAAATTTTGTGTGTAGTCTCATTGACTTCAAAGCACCGATACTCATATGTTAACTTTTTGCTTGAGAGTTTTCATGATGGATGCTGTATGTTGACAGCTAACTCTGCTTTTATTGAGCATTATAACAGCGTAGGAAGAATTGTGTCAAATGAAAATACAGTAGGATATTTTAAATTGTCCTTATGGAATTATTTTGGTTTCGGGGCAGGTGTGTGTATACGAGACATGGTGTGTGCTGATCAGCAAGAGATTTTTACATAGGATTGAAAATCTTTGCATTTGTATCCGTAAAAATGAAAAAAAAGAAAAAAGCAACCCCCCAAAACCTCAACCATAAAATGTTCAGATCGCCCAAAGATGTAACTGAGACCCTGTAATTTGTCTTGAGGTAGCATTGGTTATCAGTGGCGTTAGAGAAAATATGTGCATTATTCTTTACCCTTGACTTGGTTGCTCTGCCATCTGATTGTTCTTTGCAGTGGTAATATGTTTAATTTTACAACTCTCTACATTTCCTATGAGAATTCCTTTCAGATTAGGTTGGTAGGTTAAAAATTTGATTATAATGAAGACCTTTTTCAGACACATCCTTCTCTTGTTGAATTGCAATGCAAGAGTTGTTGACCAGAAATTTAGTAGTAAGTAAACAATTGTTTCTTCCTGTTTTCATTTTGATTTGGGATAATTCTTGGGGGGGGTATTTTTAACTATCATTTTATGCACTTGAGGTGGATCAATGATGTTTGAATACAGTTGGCTGAGGTCAAGTTATTTGTCAAAAGGTATAGTTTATTTAAACTGAAAACTAGTATAACATGCTGCTGTGTTTGTGGTACATAAAATGGAAACTCCAACTTTGCATTACTCGTGCTGAGCAGGCAGTAATCCAATGGGTTGAGTTGGATTGTGCTTTCTGTCATTCTGAGTTACATACTGAAGTGGTGGTTAAGTCATTTAACCAATTTATAGCCAAGTTCTAGTCTGTAGCAAGAGGATAATGGTTTCCTGTGTTTTACTCGTATGGTTCAAGGCTTCTGTGGAACTAGGTACCAGTAGCAGTTCAGGTATATAGTTAGGGAAAACAATATTAAAACCCCTGAAATGGCCAAAATAGCAATTGGGTTGTTTGTCCTTATGTGTTTCAGAATAGCACGTCCACAACATTTTCATTACAATCTAAATATGTCTGCATTTGGAAACAATAGCAAGGAGTTTCCAGGCACCAAAAAGTATCAGTAGGACTAATTACGGCCAACTATTTTGAGTTATAAAATGTTCATGTTTAGATTTGTAGTCAGCTTCTTGGCAAACAAGTTTTTTTAAGGCTGTCTCTGTAACAAAGGCAATGATAATGTAATATCATATATTATCTTTTCTGTCAAAGGGTT